TCCCTCCAAAAGCCCAATCCCTCATCCCACATTCGCAGGTGCTTTAATGCGAAGTACCCCGCACAACTCCTGTGCCGCGCGTGCCCCCATATACAAAACATTACTCACAATCTCACACCCAGCGGGACTCTGGAACGTTTTTTTAGCAAGAACAGAACACTTGACGCCGTGATCTCACGAGCGTTAAGCAGACGCACACAATGACCGCGCAGTGGAATCCGTCCGGGCCCGTCACGGTGTCCAAGGTGACTGCCCAGCCCCTCGGACGCGCTCTCTTCCCGCGCGGCGCTGCGAATGGCCGGCCGCGGCGACAGCAAGGCCAGCGGCCCCGCAGCACCGGGGAGAGGGCGCCGGCAGGCTCGCGCCGCCAGTCTGCGCCGCGGGCGGCGTCCACCCGAAGGGACCGGCAGCGCGGCGGGAAGAGGACCACCCGGACTCCCCGGGTGCAAGTGCGAGGCCAGCCGTCAGCCGGCCGGGGGCTGGGCCGAGGAAGGCAGCGCCCCCCGTCCCGAGCTGTCCCGGGCCGAGGGCTTCGCAGGGACGCGGGGCGCACACAGCCCAGCGCGACCTTCTCCGGGTCCGCACGCGCTCGGAGAGGTCGCGCAGCCGCTGTGCGGTGCGGCCGGGGTCCGCCGCTCTCCCCGCCGGCCGAGCCCACGCGAGGAGGACACGGCGCCCGCACGACTGCCGAGGGCCCGGCCGCGCAAGCCACGCGGACCCCCAGCCCGGGAGCCGAGCGTGCGGGGAGAGGCACTCTGGAGGCACCGGCTGCCCCCGAGGTGCACGGCTCCGAGGACACGTGTAAGGTCACGCCGTGGAGGCCCCGTCCTGCCCTGACGGGGCGCCCGCCCGCGCGGAGACGAGGAGACCTGCCGACGCCCCCGGGAGGCTCGTCGGCTTCCGCGGACCCGCCAGCACGGCCGCCCCGGCCCAGCACGTAGCCTGGGGCTCCGCACGAGGCGCCGCCCCCCCGCCCCCGGCCGACCGCAGCCCTGCACCCGCGGCAAGGACCGCGGCACGCCGGGTCGGGGTGGGGGGCGGGGCACGCCCCCAGCCCCTCTCGGAGCCCCAGTCCCCAACCCTCGGGCTGTCCCGCCGGGGAGGAAGAGGACCGCCGGGCACTCACCTGTCCTGCCGCCGCCGTGCCCGCCGACCCCTCAAGCCAACCGGGCCCTGCGCCGCAGACCGCCCGTTCCCAACCACGCGGCGCCCGCACGGACCGGGACACGCAGGACACCGACTCTCCGCCCTGACGCGGCTCCGCTACCCGGCAGCCCTACGCCCCGCACTTCCGGAGCCGCCGGAAGCTCCGGCCTCGCTTCGCGCCTAGGCCGCCGGAAGTCCCTCCACGACCTCCGCCCCGCGCCGGAAGTTCCGTTCTCAGCCTCCGTCTCCGCCGCGACGACGGAAGTCCCTCCCCCGCCCTGCGCCCCGGCCGGAAGTCCCGTGTCGCGCTGGCGGGGCCCGAGTGCGCGGGCGGCCCGGGGCTAGGGGGGGCGGCGGCGCTCGTGGGCGCCCGATACTGCCCGCCCTCGCCCCACGGGGTCGGCGCTTGCCCGAAGGTGAGCCCGGAAGGGCCGATCCGTGGGCTGGGAGGCGCGGGCGCTCGCACGGACCCGCCGGCCCGTCTCCCGGTACTCACTGCAGCGGGCTCGCGCGGGGGTCCCCGACCCCCCAAGGTTCGCGTCCATCGGCTCGGGTCGGGGCCGCCGCTGGCGGGCGTCCGGGCCTGCGAGTCCCCGCGGCCGCACGGTGCGGGCTGCGGCGGAGGCTGCCGGCCGCGCGGCTCCCGGTGGGGGCAGAGCTATTAATACTGGAGCGCGGCGGCGGCGGTGACTCACCCGCCCCGGAGCCTGCGCTCGCCATTGGCCAGAAGGACTCGAGTCAGCTGCTCGCCGCGGAAGGTGGGACTGGCTGGTGTCCGCGCGGGCTGGGGGGGGGACGGGCCGGCCGAGACCTCCGAGAGCCGCGGCCGCGCCGCGGACGGCTCTGCGGGCGGGGACTCGAGCTGTGGGGGCCGAGCGGCGGGACGGCTCCGGACGCGCGGGGCTCCTGCCTCCAAGGCACCGCCCGCCGTTGGCTCCCAGGACCGTCGCGCCGCGGCCGTGCGGGAAACAAGCGTGGTGGAGCTGGGGACCCGGTAGCCGCGGAACGAGGGGACGCGATCCCGAAGTGTTCGCGTGCGGGTGGGGCTCAGCCGGGCAGAGGCGTTCCGGAGGAGACGCGGGGCTCCAGACTCCCGGAGTCGCGGCGGGCACCGGGAGCCGCCTCTCCGCTTCGGGGTTCCGGCGGGCGGGCGGTGACAGCGACAGGGGACAGATGCGCAGGAGAGTCACACGCAGTTTCAGTTACGTGAGGAGGGAGTTCGGCAGACGTGCGAGATTCCGGAGAAAAAGGATCCTCGGTCACCCCGAATCCAGGAGCAGGGCCCGGGACTCCACGGGCAGGAGAGCAACTCGGGGGTGGGGCCGGCCGGCTCTTAAGCCAGCCGGAAGCCACGGGACGCAGAGGGGACTCCAGCGGAGTAGACTGGCCAGCGCCCTCCCTGTCCACCCAGGCCTTGACGGCGTCCCAATGCTTGAAAGACTTTTCCCTTTTTTATTTTTTTTTTTAAGATTTTTTTATTTATTTGAGGGAAAGAGATGTGGCCTGTGCGTGCGCAGGCCTGGGGAGCAGCAGGCAGGGGGGAGGAGCTCCCGGGACCCTGGGATCATGACCTGAGCTGAAGGCAGACGCTTAACTAGCTGAGCCACCCAGGCACCTCAGGCCTTTCTGATGAAATCAGTGCTGGTATTAATAAGGTGATTGATACTGAAGAATGACATGCGTCAACATTTGCAAGATTTGCTTAATCCAGTGAACTAGTATTTTCTGAGTGACTCAGTATTGCAATATCAGGCATGAGAAAATAGGCAAAGTTTTGTTCCCAAGCAGTGAGTGTTCCTGTAACCGTCTAAGATGTTCACTGACGCGGTTTTGATGTAGGAGACATTAAGTTTGAAGCCCACAGCCAAGAAGGAGTTCTCGGGTGGGAAAAGGTGGTTTTCTGAAAGCACAGGGTAGGACCCAGGGGCAGGAAGAGCTGCACCCGGTTCATACACCGCCCAGGACTTATGGATGGGGTCTCTAAGGAATATGGGAAGCAGGGTTTCCGGGACCTTGAGGGGCTCGCTCTTGCTGGGAAGCGCTACTGCTGTCCAGGGAGACCTCAGCCGTGAGACCGCCAGGTGTCCATTGGTGGGCCATACGCCTTGGTGGGGGGGGGAGTGGATGGCCAACATGTTTCTTGGTGGAGTCAGGGATGAAGGAAATTTCTAATTTTTATGTGTTAAAGTACTTGCAGGATCCTGGGGGTTGGGCAAAGTCTACCTTTTGCCCTTAGCAAAGTATTCACAGGGAGGCCGCTGAGTCCCTGGGGGAAGGTCACTCTGCCGGTTGGAAGGACTTGGCAGTGGGCTGGTTCTTATCAAACAAAAATCAGCTGGATCATCTGAAAAGGCTGGTAAAACAGTTACTTGCCAATTTTCCAGCATGTGTATGGGAGGTAAGAGTTTCTTCATAGACTGGGTCCAGTACGACAGGTGACAGCGGCCTTCTCCGCGGACAGAAGCTACGTGTGCAGAACGGAAGCATCTCCTTGAACCTCTTGTGATGTGTTTGCAGAGCACGTACTGGTGTTACTTGTACTTACACGCAGCGTGTCTAAGTGAATTCACAAATACCTTAATTTATTACCATTATTAAAAAAATTTTAATATACTTTATTAGTCTTTTGCCTAATTCATTTTTTTTAATTTTTATTTATTTATTTGACAAGACAGATCACAAGTAGGCAGAGAGGCAGGCAGAGACAGAGACGGGGAAGCAGGCTCCCTGCTGAGCAGAGAGCCCGATGCGGGGCTCGATCCCAGGACCCCGAGATCATGACCTGAGCTGAAGGCAGAGGCTTAACCCACTGAGCCGCCCAGGCGCCCCCACATTATTTTTATAGGCAATTTTTTTTTTAAAGATTTTATTTATTTATTTGACAGATCACAAGCAGGCAGAGAGGCAGGCAGAGAGAGAGGAGGAAGCAGGCTGCCCTAGAGAGCAGAGAGCCCGATGCGGGGCTCGATCCCAGGACTCTGAGATCATGACCTGAGCCGAAGGCAGCAGCTTAACCCACTGAGCCACCCAGGCGCCCCCGCCCCCACATTATTAAAAGTTTTTATAAGATTTTATTTATTTGCCAGCGAGGGAGCACCAGCAGGGGGAGTGGGGGAGGGGGAGCAGGCCCCCCGCCGAGCAGGGCGCCAGATGCGCCGGGACCCCGGATCCAGAGCCAAGCCAAAGGCCGTCGCCGCCTGTCCCTGCGCAGGCGGCGGGCCCGGAGGCGGACCGCGGGACGCAGCCGCGCACTCCGCTGTCGGTCGGGCCTGAGACTCGGGCGTCGGGAGAGCCCGCGCCGCGGAGCCGCGCTCCTCACGGGCGCAGGACGGCGGAGCGTGGCCTGCGTGGACGCGCTAAAACGGACACGTAAAACGGCCCGAAGCCCCCGTGTGCCCTGGAGACACCGCGCGTGCAGCCACAGTCCGGTCAACCTGTCGGAATACACGGATGACTGTGACCTGAGAACCAATTCAGTGACTTCGGAATTTTAACAGATAAATGAAATTTCTTAATGAACACGTGAAAAACACGTAGTACTTAATATTTTGAGTGAGTGTGACGTGCGGGTGTGAGGTGAGGCGGCTGTGGGGGCGGGGCCGGCCCGAGCGGGCGTGCGTCCGCGGCCTCCGGAGGGAGGGCACGCTTGGCGCGGTCCCCGCGGTGTTCGTCCTGCCCGCCGCGCGGAGGGAACCCGAGCTCGGACCCACTCCCCCGCCCCTCCCCCGCCCCTCCCCCGCGGGTGACTGCGCAGAGGGCCGCGCGCACACACGTCATGCCTGTCAGAATCGAGCGCCCGAGGACCCGGAAGTGCGCGGACGCGCTGCTCGGAGCCTCCGGCGCGCGGAAGGGGGTATAGTCCGAGCCGCGCGCCTCCCCTCTGTTGCCGGGCTCCCTCCTTAGAAGCGCTCCGCGCTAAGCACAGCGCGGCTCAGAGGGCACCGGGAGCCGCCGAACCTCGGCGTCGGGACCCTGCACACGCCCTCGCGCGTTCGTGACGTCTGCGCGGCCGGCGCGCGATTGGCTGGGGAGCATGTGGCGCGCTGTGGCGCGGGCGCTGACGGTTGGGCGCGCGGCCTCGAGGGGCGGGCCCCAGGCCTGGGAGCCGGGCTTAAGGGTAGCTCTCGCGGAGCGCGGCCGCCTGAGGTAAGTGGTCCGGGTGGGACGTGGGTCAGGCGCGGAGGGGCGCGGAGGCGGAGCGCGCGGCAGCGGGGACCGAGCCGGCGGGCGCGGGTGGCGGGGGAGCCTGTCTCGGGGACCCGCGGTCACGGGCGCGGCGCCGTGTCAGGACCAGGGCCGCGGGCCGGGCGGCCAGCATGCCGGAGGTGGACGTGGGCAAGCTGGACGCGCAGCAGACGCAGCTGCTGTCGGAGATGTGCATCCTCGTGGACGCGGACGACCGGCGCGTCGGCGCCGACACCAAACGCAACTGCCACCTGAACGCGAACATAGACCGAGGTGCGGGGCCGGGCCGGGCGGGGCCGGGGCCGGGCGGCGGGAAGGGGGCGGGAGCGGGGCAGGTGCGCGGCCGGGTCGCGGGGGCGCGCTGCGCTGTCGCACGGCGGGGTCGCGTGTGGAGGCCGGCGGCGGGGCGGGGGCTGCCCGCGGAGGAGCCAGCGCGGTGTCCCCCCGCAGGGCTGCTGCACCGCGCCTTCAGCGTGTTCCTGTTCGACGCGGACGACCGGCTCCTGCTGCAGCAGCGCTCGGACGCCAAGATCACGTTTCCCGGTGAGTGCGGACCCCGCGGGGGCGGCCGCGGGCTCGGGGCGGAAGCTCGGAGCGGGCACCGCGCTGGGGCCCCTAGAGCCGACACGGAGCGCGTCCGGATACGCCGTGACGACGGGCGGAGAAATTCCGGTTTTCTCATACTTTTTAAGATTTTACTTATTTGGCAGCGACAGAGGGAGCACAAGCGAGGCGGGGGGGGAAGCAGGCCCCCCGCCGAGCAGGGCGCCCGATGCGGGGCTCGATCCGGGACCCTGCGATCGTGACCCGAGCCAGAGGCAGACGCTCAACCCCTGAGCCCCCAGGCGCCCCTTCCTGTTAGTTTTAGAACTTGGAGTTTCTTACGGATCCGCGGAGCGACGGGGTAGGGAAGCTGACGCGTGTCCCCCGCAGGCTGCTTCACCAACTCCTGCTGCAGCCACCCGCTGAGCAACCCGCGCGAGCTGGAGGAGGCCGAGGCCATGGGGGTGCGACGCGCGGCCCAGAGGCGCCTAGAGGCTGAACTAGGGATCCCCATGGAAGCGGTAAGCGCGCGCCTGAATCCCGCTGGGCGACCCAAACGCACGTTAGGACGCCGCAGTTAGAATTTAGACGGAAGGTACGTCTCTGCTCTGTGAGCTCGTGAGGTACCGGCCCAGGAAGCCGCTCCACTAAAGAGTCCTTGAGTTTCGGTCTCTTGTGAGAACGTAGCCCAGTGTGGAAGTGGATTGATCCTTAACCAGTGTATAAAGTGGGTTATTTTTGTAGTTGACCAGATGAAAGACGATAGCTTTTTCTGTGGAAATCCTTTCAAATCGGAACTGCAGATCTGATTACCCAATCAGACGCACGCGAATGATCTTTTTTTTCCTGCAGTTGTTCCCTTTAAATGAGACCCGAGCAAACAAAGTATCTCTCATCTGGTTAAAATGGTAAATACGTTTTCCCCTTGCAAAGTACCATGGAGACGTGAGGACACGCATCTAGTTTGAGCGACTTTTTCTCTTACGGTCTGTCCGTAAAATCAGCTCGAGTGTTCGTCCCACAGGGAGAAAAGTTTAGGCACTAACACTCTAATAACACCTTCCCGCGTCCTGTCAGAGACGGCTGGAAGCGGTTCCGCAGTCCGGGCGCGCACTGACAGGCGCCCTGACGTCCCTTGTGCTGAAGTCTTTGCTGCTGTTTCATGTTCATCGCAGGTGCCTCCGGAGGAAATGAACTACCTGACGCGAATCCACTACAAGGCTCAGTCAGACGGCCTCTGGGGGGAACATGAAATCGATTACATCCTGTTCATGAGGAAGAATGTGATGTTGAATCCGGACCCCAATGAGATTAAGAGCTACTGTTACGTGACCAAGGAAGAGCTAAGAGAACTTCTGAAGAAGGCGGCCTGTGGGGAAATCAAGCTGACCCCCTGGTTTCAGATTATTGCCGACGCTTTCCTCTTCAAGTGGTGGGATAACCTGAACCACTTGGATCAGTTTATTGACCATGAGAAAATACACAGAATGTGAATGTGAAAATGAATGGTTAGCGAAATAGTGAAAAATTTCTCCACTTAGGAAACTTAACGTGATTTTTTAGAAATTTGGTTCCCCATAAGAACTGGTCACTTGAAACCTTGATACTTTATAACCAGTATTTGTTGAAAATACAACCCACTTGTTAATTTTTTGTCACACACCCCTATATGTGTGCGTTGTTGTTCATAGAAGACACCTGTGAGAGGTCACTGTCAACACAGGGGGCAAGTTCGCATTCCCTCCAATCGCGTGGTCCTGACGCAGGAACAGCAGGTGAAGCTTTTCATTTTCAGAGTGTTGAGATGATCCCGTCCGCGGGCGCGGAGAACGCCTCGCTCTTGCCAAACGCTTTACGAATCATCCCATTCTTAGGACGGCCTAGAAGAACGTGCAGGGGAACCGCTCGCTTAGCTACTTCAGAGTAGTCCAAGTTAACTTCCGTATGAGCAGATGGAACTAGTGGAGGAGGTCCAAAAGAAATTAAATGCTGCATGTCCTGATTTCTGTCACTAAATCTTTTGAATAGTCTTCGCCAGGTAGTAAAGCGCGCGCTCCGGTGGACGGTGCACAGGCTGCTTGTCAGGTGGAAATCGAGTCAGCAGGGTGAGGATTTCTTACCTCAGCGCTGCTGACGTGGGTTGGATCATTCCCCGTGAGAATTCATCCTGTGTGCTGTGGGATGTCTAGCTGCTGGGTTCTACCCACTCAAAGCCATTAACACCCCTCCCCCTCTGACAGTCACCGTGACACCCGATGCCAAGTAACTCCTGGAGGGCAGAGGCACCCCCAGTCAAAAACCACTTCTACAACATCAGGCCGTATTGTAGGGGGAAAAAATTCGCAGAAATACGACCGTCTGTGTTACCAATTTGGGTTATGGGATGTGTATATATTCATACTTAAATTACACCTTGACTGAGGTGCCTGGGGGTCTCAGTCGTTAGGCGTCTGCCTTCGGCTCAGGTCGTGATCCCAGGATCCTGGGATCGAGCTCTGTATCAGGCTCCCCACTCTGCAGGAAGCCTGCTTCTCCCTCCCCTGCTCCCCCTGCTTGTGCTCTCTCTCTCTCTCACTCTCTCTCTCTTGCTGTCAAATAAATAAGATCTTTAAGAACATATCGCTAACTTATACCTTGACTAATGCACTTTCCAGAAGTCTTGCCATAGATTTCTCAGGTCTGAGATCTTAAGATAGGTGCATTATCCTCGAGTGTTGTGTAACAAATAACAAAGAAAAGCATGAGAAATGTTCTAGCAAAGCAAATGTTTTGTAAATTCAATAGAAAAATCCCTTAACAGTTGACTTAAAACTTCAGGCAAGATTGTGTGGCAAATACTAATTTTTCTGAAAAGCAAAAAGAATAAAAAGAAATACCACATTTTAATATTGTTGTCTGCTTTGTTAAGACTTCAATCCCATTATTTAACCCTTTAATAAAGTCATGGGATCCATAATCAAGAGCACCAGTGGACCGCGCACCTTGTCCCACCCAGTAAACCTTCAGTGAGCACTAGATGTTCCCGCTGTCGCGGTATTAGAAGGCCTGTCTGGAACACGGAAGGATGAATGTTCTTTGACCTGATGAACCCCTTAGAACAAAACCATTTTTATCTTAAAATTCATGGTCTTCAAATCTATAACTGTCTGACACCTTTAGGGGCCAGAAGTAGTCTTGTATGAAACTGATTACTCTGGGGGCCCCTGGGTGGCTCCGCTGGTGAAGCGTCTTCCTGTTGTGATCCTGGAATCTGAGACCGGTCCACTGCCTGCTCAGCAGGGAGTCTGCTTCTCTCTCTGCCCCTCCCCCTTCCCTCCTACTTGTGAGCATTCTCTCAAAATTTTAAAAATAAAATTGGTTATTCTGTCTTCAAGCCTATACTGGCCAGAGAACAAGAATGAAAAAACCAAGACTGTAGGGAGGGGGCATGTGTTACTCCCCTGCGTGGCCCCAGCCCCCAGTACAGGGATGGGCACAGGGACAGAACTCGGAGCCATGTGAGTGGGTCCCTGGGCTGCAGGTCACGTAATTCTCAGGTAGAGGTGGTAGAGGTGGTCCTTCCATCTGCTCTCCAGGAACACCTGCTTGATGGTTTCATTCCCCCCCCACATGGCGGGCCCATTCGGTGGGCATTCCTAGGGAGGGGGGACCCCACTCTTTTGTAAGTCTGGATGCCCGCCTGCATCCTCACAGACAGATCTCTCTCCGTCAAATAAGTAACTAAAATCTTGAACAGTGCACGAGGGTCCCACTTCTCCACACCCCCGCCAGCACATGTGGTTGCTGGTGCTGCTGATTTCCGCTCTTCCGAGGTGGTATCTCACTGTGGTTTGGATTTGCATCTCCCGACGCTGGGGGATGTTGAGCCTCTTTCTGTGGATCTATCGCCGACCTGGATGTCGTCCTTGGAGAAATGTGCTTACAACTCGGCCCATTTTTCATCAGGTTGTTGGTTTGCTATTGAGTTGTTAGCTGTCATTTCTTTGTGACACAAACTGAGCTGTATTTGTCCAATGTTTCTAGGATTTTTACAATAATATGTCTTTTCTCCACTATACAAAAGCACATAGTCGGTCAAACATGTTGTTATTCAATTATCAGCAGCGTTTGTTATCCTCTGGGTTTGCACAACTCTGAAAGAAGTGAATTAGGTCTCCCAGCACAGGTCTGAACCTGTTGGCAGTTTCCCACCCACGTCCGGCTCAGGGATATCTCCCACACTCACTAGGAGGTGCATGGGAGGTTGGGCTGGCATGTGTGCTTACTTCTGACTTTTGGTATTAAAGCTCTAATGCTTTTGCGTGATCTTGGAGTGTGTGACTAACACGGTGGCTGTTTTCAGAATCTACTGAAATTTTCTTTAGGAAAGTTCCAAGGCAGGGCATAGCACGGAACTCTTGACCTCAGGGTTGTAAGCTCAAGCCTCGTGTTGGGCATGGAGTCTATTTAAGACACACACGTGCACGTGCGCACACACACACACCCCAAAAAATAACACAAAAGGAAAATTCCAAGGGTTTTGTTATGCTTGGATAACTGTTCACTGGGTTTTCAGTTACTGAGACCTTGACTTTTTCTCTTTGATCTGCTTATTATTTGTGGGATGATCAAACATCCAAAATGATTATGGATTTCTCTAGTTCCCCTGCCAGGACACATAGAAAGATTCAAACCGTTGTATCACCTATGTTTTAAATTCGCACTGAATTCCTGTTTAAGAGAACTTTGTGGTATTTTAGCCAACTGAGTGCTTTTCATTCTTTTATCCGACACCCAGACGGCCACACTTGCTTCGTTGGGGCATCACAGGTGTGGTCTTCTTTCTCACTGACTTTCCTCCTTCATATGGGATTTTTCTCAGTTGTTTTTAAATGTGTCTCTATTGAGCAGCATGTTCTTTTTAAAAATGCACTGAGCGGGGGCGCTGGGTGGCTCAGTGGGTTAAGCCTCTGCCTTCGGCTCAGGTCATGATCCCAGGGTCCTGGGATGGAGCCCCGCATTGGGCTCTCTTCTCAGCGGGGAGCCTGCTTCCTCCTCTCTCTCTGCCTGCCTCTCTGCCTACTTGTGATCTCTGTCAAATAAGTAAAATCTTAAAAAAAAAAAAAGGAAAAGAAAGAAAGAAAAGAAAAGAAGAGAAAGGAAATGCACTGAGGGACTCTGTTCCTCGCTGACTTTCTGTAGTATCACACATGTCCCCGGGGCGCAGTGGAAGGCCCACTGGACTGGAACAGTAAACACACATCATCTGGCATCAGAGTCCACACCTGTCATTTCTAGTTTAATTTTATGGTGAGCTGTGAGACAACTGTGCATTTCACCACTGTCCTTGGTGGATTAGGTCAGGCTATGTGTGGTCTGTGTAACCAGTATTTTGGGATTGGAAGCGTTCGCTGAGTGAGAGGGCCAGCAGGCAGGGCGCGTCCGCACGTCCACGCAGATGCCACGGTGTACGGCCGAGCTCTAGGAGCTGCTCGTCTCATCCCCCAGGCTGCAGAGAGGACGCGGGTGCTTCTGGGTATGTCTTGGGATCCTCACTTTGACCCCTGCCTTAGTGGTCTCCCAGCCAACTCAGACAAATGCCTTCGGAAAGGGGCAGACGGGGGCGTTTCATTCAGTAATTCCCACATATTTTCTAAAATCCGTCCTGGAGTGGCTCCAGGGTGGCTCAGTGGGTTAAGCCTCTGCCTTCAGCTCAGGTCATGATCTCAGGGTCCTGGGATCAAGTCCCGCATTGGGATCCCTGCTCAGCCGGGAGCCTGCTTCTCTCTCTGCCTGCTGCTCCCCGTTTGTGCTCTTTCTCTCTATCTCTAAGACATAAATAAATAAAATATTTTTAAAAAATCAAAATCCTTTCCGGAATAAGACAAGCTTAAAATCAAAGAACACCGAACAAAAGGCGCCCCAGACAGTGGTAATAATTCCTAAAGCTTGTTTCATGATCATTCCTCCCTTCCGCAGCAAGGACACTACCAGGGATGGCCAAAACCCCAAAGAACAATGAAAATCTGCGTTTCCCATTACAGCCGAGTGCCAGACTGGAACTCAGTGCCCACTCTCCATACCCACACTCAGGCAGGTGATACGGGAGCAGCTGTGTGGACGGCTGCTCCTTGAAGCTGCGGGTGAGGACAAGTCAGCCCGCCCACGAGTGGAGGAACGACGCCCAGGACCTGAGGGAACGGCACCCCGCACCTCCGCCCAGCGGGGAAGGGACAGCCTAGTGGTTCCCAGCAGTGGGCAGATACTCACAAGTGACCTGTCTCGGTGGAGAGTTAGCCTAGATTTAGGACTGCTTGGTCTCACCCAACTCATCCCGAACCAAGACCTGAAATGCTCGAGCTTCCCAAGCAGTTCACGGCCCCCAGCAACGGTCAAGGGGTAGGTGCACCGAATGCAACATCAAAACCCCCGTCCCGCCCTTCCTCGTCTTTGGGTGATGCCAGTCCACTAGGTAGACATAAACGTCACCGCCGTCCTTGACTTCAGAAATCAGTGTGTGCTTTGGCTGACCCCGTCAGCATCTGAGAATGTGCTAGCTCGAGGGACACGCACACGACCGCGGAACGTTCTTCGCCGGAAATGGCAGGTTTTCTATGCAGGTTAGCACACGCCCAAAAGAGGATGAGAGACTGAGACCCTGAGAGGGGTTCTGCCAGGAGAGCGCCAACCAGAGAGGGAGTTTCAGGATGTGCAGGAAGTTATGCTGACATTGTGGAATGAATTAATGAGATCACATTTCTTTTTGACATCTTGGTAGAGGACAAGGGAGAGGTTGGAACAAGGAAGGGAAGTAAAGCGGAAATCAAGCTAAGTCCAGATTTCCAGGAGAGGACAGAGTCCCCGAGTAGGCAGGCTGCCACCAGCACCGAGCCTGCTCCCAGGGCCCAGGACAGGAGCAGTCACCCCCACAGCGAGGCTCAGGGGCCTGCAGCCAGCCTGGCAGGCCAGACCCAGGGCAGACCTCGGTGTTCTGGCTTCCAGCAATGTGGGGCCCGTCGGGGGTCTGGGCTCAGGGGACTGCTGAGCCCCTCACTGAGGCTGCAGGGCCTACACCCGACGGCCAACTCCTCCCGGGATGAGGTTTTTGACAACCGCTGCCACAGTAAACGGTCCGGGCCCTGGGGCTGTCCCCGAGACCGGGTGCCTCTGCTACGTTTACTCACTATCTCCATCCCGGCTGGCCTGCTCTGCAGGTGCGGCTGCCATTAGAGCCCTCGTTCGGCTCGGAGCGGGCTCCGGGCGCTGCAGGACGGCGCTAGCGAGCGGCCCCAGCTGGGGGCAGCACGGGGCCTCCAGAGGTCCCCGCCCCGGCCGCGCACGCCCTTGATGGCCACAGCTTGGAAGCGCGCTCCGAGACGGGACGTGGGGGTCCTCCGCTCCCCTCTGCCCCTCCGGGTGCGCGGGGCCGCGCCGCGAAGCCGCCGTGTGGCCCGCAGCCCGGCTCTACTCCTGCAGAAGCGTGGCCGGGCCGGC